GAGAGCACAGTTTTCAAAAGAATTAAAGGTTACTTCTGTAAGGATTGCCGAATGGGACTGAATATTGTCAAAGCAGTTTATTAAAGCACAGACAATTACCACTCAGGTATGAATCCAAAACTCACTGTGGATAGGATTTCCTAGACCCATAGGAGGTGAAAATAATACGGTTTTGGTGAATTTAAACAGGTAAGGGTCAAAAAAAATCAGATTCTCACTTTCAAGAAGATGTTTCAGTTATGCTGAAAAAGGCACAATTTTTCTGAAGCTTTTCATCCTGACTGTTCACAAGAATACTAATATAAAGGGAAATAATGTTCTTTTTGTTCTGTATGAGAAGATTACTTTGATTGATTAACAAGCAGATTCTGATTAGCAAAGAATGCACTAATTAAATGATGACTGACAGCTAACTGCCCACTTTGTTTAAAGCCAAACCAAGCAGGTTGACTCTGATTTGTCAAGCGTTTTCTCTGAGGCATGAACCACAGAATCATTGTTGCCTGTTTTGTTTAATTGAAAAGCACAGATATACATTGTCTAACAATCCGCAATGAACACAGCCATATGTATTAATCAAACTAGCTTCCAGTAAATGCAACTGCGCCATATTCTGAACCCCAATGACAGTCTTAAATTGATTTTCTGCATAATTCTCAGCACAGTCTGGATTATTTAGCAAATATTGTGAAATCATGGAGTCATGTAATGTTGAACACTGCGTTTAGAGTTTTTTAAGCTTGTGCTGGTTGGTCTACTGTTGGTACCTTACTTGTTGCAAAAAGCCAAAGGGACATACTATTTGATACAACCTGCCAACCATTGGAAGGTATGGCTTACATATCTACCCTGACAGTTGCACTAAAATTCATATTCCATATTAGTCATTTGAGCGTTAGACAGAATGTCTTTGATGGCTGGAAGGTAGCATTCTTTCAGCAGCAAACACCACTTTTGATGCTACCTATTACTCAAATTTTTGAGTACCTTAGGGTAGTATAAATTATTCTGAGTATTTTTCAGGCCCAAAACTGATGCCCTTAAGCTCGTTCATGAGTTTGTGTAAATGCAGCAAGAAATGAACTAATCAAGATACTCACTATTTCACTGCATCCTTATTTCAGCATCAAGTAAGCAGGTGGCTCAGGCCCTGTTTTTGAGGGTGCCAATAAGACCAATCTTCTAGTGTGTGGAGTTGTAGGAAACCCAACCTGTATATGGCTCAATGAAGTTAAGCTTGCTATAAAGAGCTGTTGAGAACGGCCTGGTAAACTTCTCAACCAATACATCAAGGCAAGGGAACTCCATGTGACAGCTTGCTCTATTTGAAAGCTGAATTTGAGCACAGGATGGAGCCCATTAAGACATGTAAGAAAATTCTCACATGCAGCTGCAAACTCAAATATAGCAAATATGTCATTTACTTATCAGAAAAATGCAAGGCTCCATTTACCAACCAATCAGCATGCTCTTCTCACATCATAAAAATTATATCCATTTTACATCGGCATTCTTATGAATTGTCCCGAGCAGCGCAAGATGAAAACTTTCGACAAAATGTATTTTTATTCAGATTCCGTACTATCAAACTACCAGATTAACTTTAGCTATGAAGTTGTCTCAGTCCAAATGCAGATTGACAGCGGGTGTTAAAGAGCATTGACATCTCATTAAAACTAGAGTTCTTGGGGCACAACAGTAGTGTACCTACCTCTGGGCCAGGAGACCTGGGTTCCAGTTCCACCTGCTCCAGGGCTGTGTAGTAATATCTCTGAACTGGGTTGATTAGAAAATATCCTAAAAGTCTAAGTCCACTGGAATTAAGTCAGCCTTCCCAATTAATTTCTGCCCAGTACCTAAACAAACATAATGGATGTGTATCTGGACACCTTCATTTTACGTAATATGGTTTACAATCATCGTTCTATCAGGGTGCATTCCAAGTACTTTTGACTCCAAAGGATCAGAGAGGAAGAAGGCAAGCTGTGTCCCTGCAACATCTGAATAATGGGCTTGGGGACAAAATAGGCAAGTCAATGGTCATACAGAGAAGATCAACTAAAATGGAGGCTGGTTGCAGGGTCACAAGGTGGCAAAATGATAAGTAAGGTACAAAATGGAGGGGAGGAATTTAGTGCGTCACAGTGGGAAGGTTGAACATATTAATTTGAAGTATGAAATAGAATCTCATTATCTTATAGTTAAAATCAACAACACTCTCCACTTCTGATTTAGAAATGGCTGTCCCCAAATTGGGAGGAGGGTTTTTTTTTGGGCGGGGGAGATGGATTTGCAGATAAGAATTTTGGCTAACTGAAAGAGAATGATTAATCATGAGTTTGATACATGGAGAATTGTGATCAGCTGGTTTCAATCCCACATATCCAACATATCAACATAATTCATGCATCACATTCCAGTGAGATTATGGCATCAGAGGACATCGTAGTTTGATTTTCAACTCATCATATCAAAGATATATGCAAAGCCATAGTGCAAGAGAGAGATTTTTAATCCTTAACATGCCTTGTTGGAGCAGTTCAATCCTCACAAGATCTGCCAGTCTAGCATTCCAGCTAGAAGCTGCTGCCAGATACAGGAAAGGATTGGGAGCGAGGTGGAGGTTAAAGGTTCAATAGGTTGCTGGCTGCTCACGCTTGCCCAAGGCAAGGTTACAACTGTACTGCTGTAAGCTGCCTGTTGGATGAGATTACTCGGGAGTCTAGATTCAAGAGGTCACATTCCAAGCATATGGGGTACGTCATTTAGGAGTGAGATGAGGGGAAATGTTTTCATCCAGAGGAAGGTGAGTCTGTGGAATTCTCTGCCACAGACAGCTGCTGAGACGGATTGAATACGTTCAAGGCATTAGTTCTTGTGGCTAAAGGTACCAAAGGATAAAGGGAGAAAGCAGGAACAGGTTACTGAGCTGAATGCTCAGCCATGATCATACAGAATGGCAGAACAGGCTCGAAGGGCTGAATGGCCAACTCTTGCTCCTCTTCAGGTTTCTATCATTTGATCACATGACAAATGGCCATGTGACACCTGATTATGTGACATCTGACCACTTATCAAAGTTGGGTCCCTTTGTAGTCTAGAGTCAGAGAGACGTACAGCATGGAAACAAACCCTTCACTTCAGCTTGTCCATGCAGACTAGATATCCTAAATTAATCTAGTCCCATTTGCCAGCATTTGGTCCATGACCCTCTAAACCCTTTCTCCCGTCCAGATGCCTTTTAAATTTTGTAATTGTACCAGCCTCTACCACCTCCTCTAGCAGCTCGTTCCATACTTGCACCACCCTCTGTGTGAAAGAGTTACCCTACAGGTCCCTTTTAAATCTTTCCCCTCTCACCTTAAACCTATGCCTTCCAGTTCTGGACTCCCCTACCCTGGGGAAAAGTCCTTGACTATTCACTTCATCCATGCCCTTCATGTTTTCATAAACTTCTATAAGGTCACCCCTCAGCCTCCAACAATCCAGGGAAAACAGCCCTGGCCAATTCAGCCTTTCCTTATAGCTGAAACCCTCCAACCCTGGCAAATGTCCTTGTAAATCTTTTCTGAACCCTTTCCAGTTTCACAACATCTTTTCAATAGCAGAGAGATCAGAACTGAATGAAATTTTCCAGAAGTGGCCTAACCAATGTCCTGTATAGTTTTGCTTGTGGTTTAAGTTTAATGACAAGCAGCTGCTGTGTGAGAAGTTTCTAAGCTTGACAAGGCAAGTGTGAGCCAATGAAGAGAAACAGAGGACAGACATGAGGGCAAACCAGGATATGGCTACAGTCTAGCACTAGTACTTTAAACCCAACACCTGTGAGCTTTAGTTAAATCCTGCAGTTTGGAAGTTTAGAACAATGAATGAGAGGCTGGGGGTATGGTTAAGATGGACGTCCTGTGCTGTACAAATAAATGGAGAGCCCAGTACAGCATAGCAGTGACAGCAGGACCATTAGGGTGATGTATCAAAGTTTAAGCCTATATATAGGGAATATGTCATGTGCCATGCACAGATTGAAGATGCACAGATTTCACTAGATTGAAGATCGAGTGTAACTTATTACTGCCTGCAGGATTGCACAATCGGAGAGCATTTTGGAAATATTAGCGTTTAATCATATGGAATGGGTGAATTATCTAGACTGTACAAGTGCCAGATGATGCATTGTGTGCAGCTGGGGATCCCAGGTCTGGGAAAAGGTGGCAACCCATTGTTACAGAATGACGGTCAAGGTCTGGTAAAATGGACAGTCACAAATGGGGGTGGCTTGGTCAACCAGTGAGAGATGATCAGGATTGATCCATAGGCTGGGAGCATGTCAAGCAAGTAAAGCTCTGGGTCCAGGGTCTGTCACTAGGCAGATGAAAGGTGAATAAAAGGACACTGGAACAGGGGCAACACAGGAATTCTGAAAACAGTGCTACAGTTATGGAGAAAGATGAATGACACAGACCAGCTCTATTATAGGTTCTAAATCGTATTGTCTATCCAACAGGATACCATTTCCCCAATCCCTAACTTGATTCTCCATCAGATCTTTGTTTCCTCTCTCTTCTACATAGATACACAGAAACAACCCAGCAGAGTCAAACACTAAGACAGATAAACAGCATATTACATTCTACCAGAGATGGGCAAGGAGGTGATTTTTTTTTTAATTGGATAGAACTTCTGTCAGAGGCTGATGAACTTCTGTCCACCCAGAGGCCTCTGTCAATGATTATATTCAAGACAAGAGATCAACACATGTCCTTAGTGACCAGGGATGTGCAGGCTAGGTGGGATTGTCCTGGGTTAGGGTATGGGTGTGGTCAGGATGGGATGCTCTTCAGAGGGTCATTGTAGACTCGACGGGCCGAATGGCCTACTTCCATACTTTCGGGACACAATGATTCTAAGAACTGCAAACCAAATCCCATCAGAGTGTTATAACCAGTCACATCTCCATCCCCCTTATAGCCCAAATAGAGGCAGAGCCCTGAGATACTCACCGCGTCTCCCCCGGTGTCAGGGACCTGCAAAGAGCCAGGAGCAACTCCTGGCTGCCGGGATAGTCCAGGAAAGAGCGGACCAGCTTCTCCTTGTCCCGGTGCAGGTCCAGCAACAGACCGTCCACCGTCTGCTGGATCCGGGCCGGCTCCGCGCACAGCAACTGGGCAAACTCAGCGTGAGACTCCGCAGCTCCACACCGTGACATCCCCGGGAGAGAAACAACAGAATTAGGAGTTTAACCTCTTTCAACACCGCACCACCCCCCCACAACAGAGAGTGAGGTTCCCCTCCAGCCCCTCAGTCAGTGCCACACTCGTCAATTCCAGGCAGTGTGTTTCACGCATGGGAAATTACACAGCGGGAAGAGAGCACAGTCACACTCTGTGCTGCCCAGCACTCTGACTCTCCCAAGCTGTGGCACATATTTCACCTGTTGACTGGTCTCTGCGGGCCAGGCCCTCTTTTGTCCTTGGGGAATGATGAATGTTGCCGAGGCTCCAATCAGTTTCAGGGAGCTGCCCACCTCCTGAGAGCCGCAAACACTGACGAACAGACCAGGAGAAAAGGCTTAAGTTATTCATCTCTGATGTTACTGCTGGCTCTTCCAGTGCCTGGGACAGTCCCTCTCTAACCAAGTGTGTCTTAGACTCATAGAAGCACAGTGCCCTGCATAGTTGCAGCCAAAGGAAACTAAAAAAGAAAATGTGCTGGAAATTGTTGTTACAGCAATAAGTCTGGCTGGGAAACGCAACCATTGCAGGTCCTGCAGTCATCAAGGCAAATGCAGATCATTGTCATGACCCTCTGACACTTGGCCTTCTTGTGTTTGCCCCACAAGGCACAACAGCTTTCAAGTACACCTTTGGTTTCAGGAATATTCATGTTCAGTGACTCCCAATGCCTGTTTGCCTCAACTTGTTAAGCCATGTCTTGTTTAGAGTCATAGTCATAGAGATGTACAGCACAGAAACAGACCCTTTGGTCCAACTCGTCCATGCCGACCAGATACCCTAAATAAATTTAGTCCCATTTGCCAGCATTTGGCCTCTAAACCCTTCCTATTCATATTCCCATCTAGATTTTTTTTTAATGTTGTATTTGTACCAGCCTCCACCACATTCCATACAAGCACCACCCTCTGTGTGAAAAAATTACCCCACAGGCCCTTTTTAAATCTTTCCCCTCTCATCTCAAACCTATGCCCTCTAATTTTGGATTCTCCCACCACAGGGAAAAGACCTTGTCTATTTACCCTATCCATGCCCCTCAAGATTTTATAAACTTCTATAAGATCATCCCTCAGCCTCCAACGTTTCGGGGAAAATAGCGTTTTTTCCAAACTGAGGGTTATAACAGTTTTTGGTATTTGGGAACTTGCCCAACTTCTGTGCTCTCACTGCTATCTCCAACTCCTATCCTTCATCATTCTATCGAGGCGTTCTGCCCCTGCAAGGCTCCATTATCTTCCATTCCCAACTTAGCTACAGCAGCTCCAGTTATTGCTTCACCCTCCCTACCAGTTCACTTAGTGACACCAGCCCTATACCCTTTCCATAACATATTCTCAGAAAGTCCCATGGATCTACATTCAGTAATGTAAAGACTTCTTGACCAAGAATGAGAAAGAAAGAAGGGATTCACTGGCGCGTATATGTTTTTTTTTAATCAACCTGTTCAGGGATGTTACCACATTCCTTGGGAGCAGGTACGACTTAACCCAGGCCTCCAAGCTCAGAGGAAGGGACACTACTATACCTCTCTGCCATTTTGTCATCCTAACACATGTTCCAGCCATTGAAGCCATTTTTGAAGCACAGTCATTAGTAATCATGACGGGACCATGACAGGCAATGTGTGCACTGTATGATCTCACAAAGTGACAACAGCCAGGTCAGACAGGTGGTATTAGCTGGCACAGGAATAACTTGGTCTCCAGGGATCTGCAAGTTAGGTGGATTAGCCATGGTGAATGCAGGATTATGGCGTTTGGAGGATGAGTGAAATGCTCTTTGGAGGGTCAGTGCAGACTCAATGGACTGAATGGCCTTTATCTGCACTGTAAGATTCTATGATTCTATGAACTGACCTCTCTTCATCAGAATGGTGCCAGTTAGATAATACCAGATCTCTGAGGCATATCAAAGATAATGTGCATCCATTTATAAAGATTCGTAATATCCAGGATATATTCCAGAGTTCATGTTAGAACATTCTGGTTGCTGCTTTCCTGTCCTTTGGCAGCATCTAAACAGCTTTGGCCAAAGTCACAAAAAATAACTTCTGCAATTGTGATCCGTCTCATCCCCGGTCTCACTTCAATTTTCCAGACAATCGGCCATACTATTATCCTTGAAGAGATGTCTTCCATTATCTAGCTCAGTGACACTATCCCTTCACAAGGTTCCACATTTTCCTGTCCAATCACGGCCAGAATATCTTCTCCAGCATTGGTTCTTTTTCCCAAATTATACCCTACCACTACAATCTCCCCAGTCCCTTCTCTGCACCATTACCTCCAAAATATGATTCCATCCTTAGCACTCTCAACTTCCACATGTATATTGTCCTCTTTGGTAACACAGTGAAAGATATGGAGTCAGGTTCCACTTGTGTGCTGACAACACCCAACTCTACATGTCCACCATTTGTCGAGTTCCCTCTCCTGTGTCAGCAGCTTGCTTCTCTGACGTCCAGGCTCAGATGAGCTGCAGTATTTGGGAAATTGTGCCTATAATATTTGGCTTTTTGACTTTTTGCCCTGGGCATACTTACTATCCATTCCATGTGCTCCCCCTCTTCCCCTTTAAACAGCAAGAAAAAATCACTTTTGCAGCTCCCTTCAGTTTTGAAGAAGAGTTATTTTGAACTCAAGTTGTTAACTCTGTCCAGAGATGCTGCCAGACCTTCTGAATTTCTTCAGCACTTCTTTTCTTTCACAAGCTTGGTGTTGGGGAAGCTGGAGGTGGCTTGGACAAAGACCCAAAGCCTTAATACTTTAGTGCACCTGAGAGAATGGGATGTTGATAAGCCCACAATAAGCATTTGCTTGATGCAACTGAACAACATAGGAGCTCTGGAGAAAAGCCCAGGAGCATGACTGGCTCAGCGTTGGTGAAGTGCTGGAGTTATGCTTGTGAATGAGAGCTGGAGCGCTATTTTGGTCTACTGGAGTGAAGATCCAGGAAAGGAATATCATTGACCAAAATGAAAGCAATGTTTAATTTCAAAGCCACTTTGGCAAAAGGAAACAAATATGAGATTTGATAACCCACTACATTATTAACATCAAAGGAATTTACTGAGATATCTGTGGGATTTGAATCGATCAGATTTTCTATTCTGAGTGTGCTATGGGCCATTCAATCACTATTACCCACATTCACCACATTAATCCCAAATATTAAAAACAAGTTGCATGATATAGGAAGTTTTATAGATTGCATTACTGTTCTTATGTTGTATAGTAATATTTATTATTGTTTGTTCAAAACTATGGAATCTTGTGGCTTTATTCCCTTAGTTCAGTCCCTGGATGTCACACTCTGCATATTTAAAAAAAGTTACCAGTCCCTATCCAGATTATAATAAATTTGGCAATCAGGTCCAAAATCAAATTATAATTTGGAGGATCCTACAGGATTTAAAATCCACAGACAAGTGCTGGGAGTTGTTGAGGCTGAAGCTGGTTAAGGATTTAGAGGTGATCGTACTATGCACATTGAAAATGAAAATGGCTTTGCAAATCGTTTCCCCTTTCTCAGACAAGGTGATATAAATATGACAGTCAGGTTGGAGATTGTAACAACAATTGCCCACATCATCTCAGTTCAGCTGTTGCTGAAGCCTTTCTTGTCATGACCACAACAACACTCTCCAAAATTCTCATTGCTGTGGTTAAATGTTCTTGTTAGCTTGCTATCAAATGCCTGACAACACAAATTGCAGATTACATAGCAACTGATTACCGCAGTCATCTACAAATGAATTTATAATTGTTGACCTCAATTACAATTCAGTTACAACTGACCCCAATTGTTTACAGATTATATAAATTACTTAGATGACAGGACAGAAGGTATGTTGCTAAATTTGCTGATAACTCAAGGATAGATATGAAAGTAAATTGTGAAGAGGACGTCAAGAGACCAAAATACGATAAAGATAGGCGAAGTGAGTGGGTAAAGATGTGGCAAATGAGTTTAATGCAGCAAAATGTGAAATAGTCCACTTTGGCAGGAGGATAAAAAAGGAATATAATCAAACTGGTGAGAGAGAGCAGAGCTCTGAGATGTAGAGAGATTAATCACAGAGGTTAGCATGCAGATACAGCAAAAAATTAGGAAAGGTAACAGAATGGGGTAATTTAGTACAGGATATTTGAACACAAAACTATGGAGGTTATGTTTTAGTTAAACGGTTTTGATGAGACCACATCTGGACCACCTTGTGCAGATCAGTCAGCTTATGCAAGAAATGATATAGATATGTTGGAGGCAATTCAGAGACTAAACTAATATCTGGAATGGGGAGCTTGACTTATGAGAAAAGGTGGAATAGGCCAGCCTTGTATCCACCGGCATTTAGAAGAGGACTTGATCAAGCATGTAAGATCCTGAGCAGTCATGACAGGGTACCCTTGGAGAAGATGTTTCTTCTTACAGGAGAATCTGAATTAACAGTTCTTGTTTAAAAATCAGGGGCCCCTCTTTAAAGCAAAGAGGAGGCAAAATGTTTTCTTACAGAGTGCTATGACTCTTTGGAATTTTCTTCCTGAAAGGCTGCTAAAAACAAAGTCCTTGAGCATTTTTAATCTAGTGATATCACACGGGAGTGTTCTGTGAGTGGATATTGTTATGAAGATAGGCAGATTCTTTATGAACAAGGGTGAAATGTTATCGAGGTTAAACAGAAATGTGGTTTTGAAGTTACAATCAAATTATAATCTTATTGAATAGCAGGGCAGGCTTGAGAAGATTAATGGCCTGTTCCTGATCCTGATTTATATGTTTGTATGAATTTTGCAAAGAGATTCTGAAATTGAAATTAATCCCCCAGATGTACCTATGTAAAGGACATAATTCTTGTAAACTGGGTGCAGTCTGAAACAGTGCTTGATCCCAAGGTGGTAGTTTTAAACAAACATTGTTTGATTTCCATTTAGTTCTGTGTCAATCTGTACAAGGTGCTTCATTAGTAAAGTTCCCAATTCATCCTCACCTGCACCAACACGACTATAAATCTGGCCTGAGATAGTAGGAACTGCAGATGCTGGAGAATCTGAGATAGCAAGGTATAGAGCTGGATGAACACAGCAGGCCAAGCAGCATCAGAGGAGCAGGAAAGCTGACGTTTCCGGCCTAGACCCTTCTTCAGAAAAAAATGAATGGGGAGTGAATTTCTTTTCTGAAGAAGGCTCTAGGCCCG